ACACACACTTGTACTGACGTGTTACAATGCAACAATGCATTTGCTAGAATTTCTGAAGACTATAAAAGCACGTTTGTTTAATTCGCACTGTGGATTTTAATGGGCTTATTAAAATGTAACTACTTTAGGTGCCAACTTTTGACCATCCTACAAGCACTATCCTGTCGCCTTGTCACCACGCTGAAAAACAAATGTTAAGAGTTTGTTTGGTTTTTTTCTGCACGGTGGGCAACTAGACGAACTGACCACGCAGACCTGTGGGTTTTAGTTTGGTGACCCTGCTCTAGCGTAATACTGAGAGTAGGAAAAGTTCCTTTTTGTCGCAGCTCAACCACTTACAGAGTCGCATTTAGCAACAATTGATCTGGCAGCCCAGCTGTTCCCCTCAATTTTAAATTTGCTGTTGTCTCTTTCTATGATAGTCTTGACCCGGATGTCCTTGATGTGAGTGACCTCTGCGTGCAGGACGAGCGGGCAGTCAGTCAGCTGAAGGAGACGGTGTTTGAACTTCTGGACATCCAGAGGAATATGGGAGACAATATTAAGGAGATCAAACGAGCTGCCAACAACCCAGGACCGTCGTTTTTAGACAGGTGTTGCCTGCTTCGAAGAAAAAAGAGTTTATAGAATACGTTTATTCTATATCATGTAGGCTTACGTGTCTTATATCCTAACTAAATGGGACTTCATTTAAACTTACTTTGAGTGGTAAACTTAATTTGAAGATGCGATGGTGTGGTCATTAGGATAAAATTGTACTTTTCGATTTCATTCTTTGAAGTACATGTACAAGGTTTTGGTTGGACTCAAAAGGGTAATTATTCTCTGCGCATGCCCTGTGTGCCAGCAGCTACAACTGCCCCAACGTGAAGTGGAAACGAACAAGAGAGAAATTTGAGATCGATGGTAGGGTAAGGATGCAAAGTAACTTAGAACTTAAAAAAAAAAAAAACAAGACGACATAAAACTGAGATAAATAATAAAGACATATTATGTGATATTCTGGTCAATCACAATAATTGTGCACATGTATTTTAGCCTGTGCAAAGTACTGCGTTGGCCTCTTCTTTAAAAAAAAAAAAGAGAAGAAAGGCTTCCAGGTTTCACATTACTTTGTTTAATTAAAGCATCTTAGATTGTCTTTTGTTGAAAGAATCTAGCATGAAAAGGAACATCCTCATTTCCTCTTTTTTTCACCAATCGTCAGGGGGGAGCTGATTAAAAGTCTCGGAAAGTTCCCGAACAGAGATGAAGCTCAGGAAGCCCATGTGATGTCTTGCGCGGAGCTGATGACAGCAAGCTCTGCCGATTTTGTCAAATTTATGACACAAAAGTTCCAGTCCTTAGACGCCCTTCAGCTCATCGATACTGCGCTCTACACTGGCAGACAGGAGGCTTTAGTCCTACGATACAACCTGCTCCATCAGTTCACTGCAGCAGAAATCAAACGCTCCCCTTCCGGTAGTCGACTACACCCACTTCCGATAGACACTCGCGCCCCTGCTCCTGAAGCAACGTTCAAGGACTCTCAGGTCGAGTCGAGAAGTGCAGCCACCGAGCGGAGGACAGACATCACGTCAGAAGATAGTGAAAATAAGCTGCGGCTCCGGGGGAAACGCTCACGTGCGTTAATGATAGAAGTGAGCGGGAATGGCACGTCTTTGCAGGCCCCGGAGAGTGGAGAAGGTGTTTCAGAAGAAGAAGGAGAGGAGGAGAAGGTCGCGGCCTCTGATGCTATGGACATCAGTGATGCGAGTGATCGGCGAAAGGTAGAAGTCCCAAAGGTCTCAGATTCAACGGAATACCACCATGTTGAGGAAAACAGAAGCAGTAACAAAGTATGTGGGCAATATCGTGATACACTAGTCATTCGGCAGAAAAGAAGATACAAGAATAAATATTTTATATTGTATTATACACCTATCATTATATTATTGTATAATATATCTATCATTTCAAACGTGTGGGTATGTGTGTGTGTGTGTGTGTGTGTGTGTGTGTGTGTGTGTGTGTGTGTGTGTGTGTGTATGTGTGTGCGTACACACGCATGCGCGCACATGTTATCAGACAGACAGACAGACAAACAGACAAACACTCAGACAGACAGACGGACGGACGGACGGACGGATTGACAGACAGACAGACAGACAGACAGACAGGTAGATAGATAGATAGATAGATAGATAGATAGATAGATAGATAGATAGATAGATAGATAGATAGATAGATAGATAGTCAATCTTTTGGTCCCTTCATGATACAGATAGACAAGTTGACCCCAAGTGTGGCATCTCCCTCAGAGTCCGACATCATTAGTGGTTCAGGATCTTTGAAAACTGAGGAAATCAGGGGAACAGTAGGCGAGTAAACGTACTTGGACAGCTTTTATAAAAATGTTGAATTTTTGAAGTTGTTGTTGCTGCTGAAGCTGTATTGTTTTTATTAGTTAGTTAGTTAGTTTGTTTGAGGGTTTTTTGATTGTTTGTTTGTTTGTTTGTTTGTTTGTTTGTTTGTTGTATGTTTTTTTTTTTTTTGTTTGTTAGTTTGTTTGTTTTTTTGTTGTTTTTTGGGTGGGGGTGGGGGTGGGGGGTGTTGTTGAGATATTGTTAGCTGTTTGCTTTGTTTCTTGGGATTATACAAATAAACAGTTTGCCAACAGTGCAGACAATAATTTCTGGAGGAACAATTACATCTCTAATAAAAAGTAAAAGTGTAAGTCCGGACTTCCTCTCCTAAGTGAAAGGCTTCATTTTCCGTTGTGGAATGGTTCTGACTCGTATACCCCTAACAGTAAAAAGCTGCTATAAAAAAATACCTGGCTATACTGCGAGAGGAAGACCCAGGAAAACGTTGGAATGAGGGAGAAGGATAAAAGCATGCAATTTCTTACTCCAGGAGCTTTTCCAGTTTGCCAAGACCCCATGGTATAATAACCCGCAGATAGTAAAGTGAATAAGAATAGTTCAGAAAGATGGAAGAAAAACTCCACCAAAAATGTTTTTATTCCTTACTGCCTGGCGTCTATAGGCCCTAGTACGATGGTTATTAAGTTGTTCACCGTTGCACGCAGGAGAACCAAGTTCGACTACCGCGAGGGGAAGTGACTGTATCGAGTATCTCCTTTTTTTAAATTTTAAATTTAGTAGAGGTTTTACGGCACTCGCAACTGCATACGGTCATATGAGCGCCAATGGGTGGATGTCAACAGATAAGTTTTTACAGGGAATCAGGCTTACTCTGATCACCTCTCTAGCTTCAACAGCACAAAGTCTGTTTCGACTTTCAAGGCACCCGGGAAATGGCAGGTCACAAGAGTGCGACAAACATACAAAAGAAGTAGAGGAAAAATGACAATAGTAAGGATTAGGGGGAAAAAAGCAGTAGTTCCCTGTTGTAGATCAGGCACAGTTATGAGCATGACATTGATGAATCAGCCCATTTACAATTCTACTGTGCATGAAAGAGAAATGCCCCCCCCCCCCTTTGGGAATGGTCTAAAGACACTTCAGTCCGTGGCCCCACCCCGGGGGTGAGTATCTTCTTCTGTCTAATGGAACACAATATGGCAATCATCCAAGACTCGCCCTATCTTATGTTCCTGTCCTGACAATTACTCGTATCTATATACTTTTTCCTGATTTTATCCACTGGGTTTCTTGCAACGTTAATAGTATGATTCCCATTCTGTCGATGGAAGCGTGAAACATTGAAAAACTGCAGGGGGGGG